CATATAATAATAATAATATTATAATTTTATTAAAAAATAATAGAAAAAACATTTGTATTTTTAATATTATTTTATAATTTTTGAGAATTTTAATTATCTCAATTTATACTAAAGATTAAGGAATTAATTAACTTTGTGTATTATCTTTTTTTGATAAATTTGAAATAATTTAAAAATTATGAATATTATATTATATTATATTATATTATATTTTGTAGTAATGTCAGTATATTATATTAATATATACTTATAGTAGTATATGTAAGTGTATAATATATACACTTATATTATATACTTTATACTTATGTTTTATTTTATTTTACAGGATTAAAACATTATACTTCTAAACTTCGAGAATTCTCAGATTTAACAGAAATAAATACTTTTGGATTTCGAGGAGAAGCTCTTAGTTCACTTTGTTCCTTAGCTGAATTAAGTATTATTACAAGACATTGTACAAATGAATATGGTTTTAAACTACAATTTGATCATAATGGTTTGCTACAAAAAAAAGAACCATGTGCAAGAGAAATAGGAACAACTGTATATGTGAAAAATATATTTAAGTGTCTTCCTGTAAGAGTAAAAGAATTTCAAAAAAATCTTAAAAAGGAATATATTCGTGCTATTCAAATATTGTACAGTTATTGCTTGATTTCTACTGAAACAAAAATAACGTGTACTAATTCTGTCTCAGGCAAAGCTTCTAATCTTGTAGTTAATACTGTTAATTCTAGTAACATTTTAAATAATATTAATATAATATTTGGCAAAAAATCTTCAAATGGACTTATTAAAATTGAATTATTACCCCCTGATGAATTGACATTACAAGAATACAATTTACCAAATAATATAATTGTAGATTTTGAATGGGATTGCTATATTAGTAATTGTGAGCATGATGTTGGACGTTTTACTTCTGATAGACAGTTTTTTTATATAAACGGTCGACCATGTGATTTAATAAAAATTAGTAAATTAATAAATCAAATTTATCACAAATATAATAATAAACAATATCCGTTCATTTTTCTGAATTTGAAATTAAATAAATATTCAACTGATATTAATGTAACTCCAAATAAAAGAACTATTTTATGCACACAACAAAATTTAATATTAGCAACTTTAAAATATAGTTTAACATATAAGTGGGATAAATTACAAGGAAATTTGACTATAAATTCTTTATCTAAATTAAATTTTGGAGTAAAAAGAACAATTTCACCTACAAATGAAGATCGATCAATAAAAAAATTGCATAAATTAAATGAAATATCAGATACAAAATATATAATAAAACAAAATATACAGTGTGATAATGAAAATAAAATTACTCAATATGATAATTCACAAAATAATATATCAAGTGAGATAAAAATATTAAATAGCATAGAAATGCCAATAAGTATTTTAACGATAAAACAAAAACTTCAAGAAAAACAAAATATTTTATCAAAATATACGACTTCAAATACAACAATCAAATTTAAGGCAAAAATGGAAGCAAATGAAAATTTAAAAGCTGAGAATGAATTGAAAACACAATTAACAAAAGATTCTTTTTTCAAGGTTATACATTTTATATTTTATTAAATTATATAAATTTTAATTTATTTTTTATATATTTATTTTTATTGTATTATTATTTTTATTAATATTATATATTCATATTGTAAAAATTTTTAAAATTAAAACATATTTTATAGATGGAGATTATAGGTCAATTTAATCTTGGTTTTATAATAACACGTTTAAAAGAAGATCTCTTTATTATTGATCAACATGCTAGTGATGAAAAATATCGTTTTGAAAAACTCAATAATGAAACTCAATTAAAAACTCAAAAATTAATTATTCCTAAATTTTTAAATATTTCTACAGTTAATGAAACAATATTAATTGAACATCAAAAAACATTTGAAGATAATGGTTTCTTTTTTAAAATAAATTCTGAAGGTAAATGATATAATAAACTTCATATATAAAATATATAATATATAATAAATATAATTTCAAATTTTATATTTTAGCTGAATCTGGTCATCGTATTCAACTTACAGGAATACCAGTTAGTGGTTATTGGCAATTTGGACAAGAAGATATTGAAGAATTGATTTTTCTTATTAGAGAAGGTGGTGTAGAAAATAAAGAAAAAAATATATTTCGTCCAAGTCGAGTAAGACAAATGTTAGCATCAAGAGCTTGTCGTAGAGCAATCATGATTGGTAAAGCTCTCAATAATAGTGATATGCAAAAATTAATTGCTCAAATGGCACAAATGAAAAATCCTTGGAGTTGTCCTCATGGTAGACCAACAATAAGACATTTATTATCATTAAATCTTATATACTAATAAAACATGTATTAGTATTTTATGTATTATATTAATATCTTCATTCTAGTATTATTATATATATTTGATAAAAATAAAAAATTTTACAAAATGAATAAGAAAATTGATTATTTCAGTTTTGCTTTATATTTTATATTATGATTATCTTGTATATTATTCTAAGAGCTTTTATATTATTATATGTACATGAATTCATTTCTTCATATATAGTATTCAAGTGAAGTCTTCATTTAACTAGCTCTTGGATTAGAATTAAACAAATAGTTAATTCGAAAGTAAAAAAATATATCTATGATTAATAAATAGAAAATCGTTTAAATGATCAATAAGATAAAAATTTATTTAATGAAAAATAAATCAGAATATATTGATAATTATAATTTTTCTATTGCTCAATTATTTCTAAATTTTCAAATATTTATATCTTAAAATGTGTGATTATTTAAAACAAAGACTGATTAAAGCAAGAATAATCAGGAATTTATTTGTATATTTATGTATTATATTAGAAATTTATGAATTATAAATAGTTTTTGATGCAATTTTAGTTAATTATAAATTAAATTAAAAAATGTTTTTTTTTTATTTATTGTATTAAAATTAATACTTGTATTAAAATCCAAGAATTTTTTAATGATACAAGATATTAGAATGATAATATCAATATATAGCGTTTAAATGAAATAAAAAATTTAAAGAATTCTATAGATTGAAATAAAATTAAGACAAACTTATGTATGAAAAATAATATTTTAATAATAGAAAATTAAAATTATTATTAAATTATTTCAAATTATAATTTAATTTTGCATGAGAAGTGAAATAGTAATAAAATAAATATATTTTATTTATATTTATGACATTTTATTTTTTTTTCGTTTTATTTAATGGAAAATTAAATTATTTATAACTTAATAAATAAATCTTAATCAATATTTTGTATATCAATTTTCATGTTTATTTTAATATTTTTAATGTTTTAATAATCTAGAATTATTTTTCAAGTTTTCTATTTAATTCTGAAGAACCAAATAATAAAATAAAACATGAAAAAATGCATTTTTAAAAATATTTTCCTACTTAATATTATGAATGAAATCAATAAAAAATATCATAATTATAGAAATTATTTTATAAATATTATATTCTTGAAAAAATAGATTTATTATACACTAATTGTACGAAATATGTTAAATCCTGAATGAGCTGTTGATATTATAGTATTAGAACATTGAGGATGCCAATGCAATTCTTTTATATCAGTCTGACCTTGATGTATAAATAACAACTGTGGCGGTAATTTCTTTAATTCATTATGTTTTATCTCTTCTAATTCATCAGCTTCTATTGATAAATCCCATTGAGCAATTTGATCATCAGCTCCACCAGAAGCAAATACAGTGGCTTCTTGAGGATGCCATTCTACTGTTGTAACAGGTGCAATATGTTGTTTAAATATAGCTAATGGACTTGAACCATTAGAACCAAATTGACGTAAATCCCATACACAAATCAAACCATCATCACCACCAGATATAAGAAATTGAGTTTCTTTATGATTCCATGAAATAACATTAACATCAGCAGTATGTGTACCAAATGCTGTTAACATACAGGCAGATTGTGGACTTGCTCTTGTATCCCAAATTTTAATACTGTTATATATAAAATTTATATAAAAATTATATAAAAAATATATTAAGAATATGTAGTATTAAATAAAGTGAATAATAAAATATACATTAATTTAGTACAAATTCGATAGAAATTTATAAAAACTTTTATAAATTTAATTAGAATCATACCTTTTATCAACAGAACATGAAGCAAGTACATGTCTTTCATTTGGTGACCATTGAATATCTTCAACACTATATGGTTCATGTGAATTATAAGGTCTTTGATCCACATGCCATGTTGCAGAATTATCATTATCACTAATGTTCCATATATGGATATTACCCTTACAATCACCAGAAGCTAACATGCCTATTTCTGTTGAACACCAATCAAGTCCATATCCTTCTGAAAGATGTCCTTTAAAACTAAATAATGGTTTGATGTTCTCATCATTTTTCTCATATTTTTTACGATATGTACGAAGTAATTCATCATTATCAAGTGCATTTAATTGTTTATCTAAATTCCAAATATGTACACGACCTAATTCGCTCCAACTTGCTGCTAAAGTTGTTTTGCCAATTCTTGTATATCTATTGAAATAAAATATATTTTAAATATAAATATATTTTAATTAATAGTTTATTTATTATTTATACAATAAAGTTTTTGAATAATATATATAATAATGACAATTTAAAGTTATAAACTTAAAGAAATAAAAATTAAAAAAATTAAAAATATTTCTTTAGTCTTTTAATATACGTTTTTCCTTTATTTTCAAATTTTTATTATAATATAAAGTTTTTTGAATATTTTATTGCATAATAACATATTCAGTTTTTTCTACTTGTATAATTATCTTTTTTATTATATTATAATTATATATTATAATTAATTTTTCATCTATTCTTTGAGCATCTTTGACCATTTATTTTTCTCCATTTTCATTATATTAGAAAGATATCTAGACAAAAATATTTTTGTCCTTATTTAAATGTTTATTTTTGTTCTATTCAATTTCAAATATAATTTTTGTGTTTTTTTAATTTTACAATTATTTTTATAATGATGTTAATATATTCTTGAGATATCTTTATATCTTTATATTTATATTATATTTTGATTTTAGGCTAAAATAAACACAAAAGTTGATATAAAAAAATTATTAAGGCTTATTATTAAATTATTTATTAAATTATAACCAATTTACTAATAAAGCAAAACAGAAACAGAGTGAGAAAACAATACAATAGAGATAGAATAATCTTATTCTATCTTTGTTTCACTTTATACTAATGTAAATTTAAATTTTTGATAGATAATCACATTGTTCTTTTTTTCTTCTTGTTCTTTTGGATTCAGTTATAATTCAATATTCACATTTAATTTAATAATATCTTATTAAGAATAATTTCATAGAATTTATTTTTTATTTAGATTTAATCCAATGCTTTGCCATTGTTTATTATCTTAGTACTTTGTCTATTGAATTTTTTATTCAATTCAATTAATATCAACATTTTTTTATCTATTATTTTTTTTTTAATTTTCTTACATCATTTAGCCATTTACTATTTTTATTTAATGCAAATAAATTATTTATAACTTAATAAATAAATTTAATTAACATTTTTATATTCCAATTTTGTTATTTATTGTTTTTATTGTTTTGGTATCTAGAATTGACTTTTAAAGATATCTCATGAATATATTAACACTTTGTATATATATGTAACATGTTAGTAAGTGTATA